TAGTTTATCTGCTGGTTGAGACGAGGATGATTCCGGTATGCCATGGACAATAACATTTCGAGATAAATTTTCGTGGTCAGATAACTCCTGAAGTAGAGTTGGCAATAAGTCTGTATATGCGTCTTTGAAGGAGGTGAATTCAAGGACCTTAATGCGTTTAGAGAGAGATCAGTTAAATTAATGCGGAGTGAAGCGTTTTCTTCTTTTAGTCCGTTGATTTGGGAGGTAAGAAGTAGCATGCCCTCTTTGATTTCAGCAAATTTAGAGTCCAGAGAGAGATGTAAAGACTTAACTTCAGACGAAGTTGCATGTTGAAATGTATGTAGTTCAAACATGGATTGATTAAAAACCTCTTAAGAAAGAGTTCCAGAGGTAGAAGAGGCTGAGTTAGAAGCTTTAGAAGAAGAATTTGAGGTAGAGCGGATGGTCACTTTAGACGTAAGATTGGTATCCTTATTCATTGTTGAATTCATTGATGTAATTTAGGATATCCTTGAAATGCAACAAGTACACAGGAGAAGAAAGACGATAGAACGTAGGTGTTTGGCTTACTACTTCAGGATACCCCTTATAAGTTAGTAAATGCAACTCAAAATATATGGACGTAGATTGGCAATAGACCGTATGTGGGCAAGTTTGTGAACTTTGATCGAGTCACTAGGTACACTGTGTTTACATTATTATATATATTGTGTACACTTGTATTTTTGGTTTAACTTGATGTAATATAATATGAAGCAATTATATTATGTGAGTGGATCGATGATAATAGTTGTAGTTAATTAGGCGATAAGATTAACCGGTGGATTTGCACCGTAATCTATCGGTGCGATAACAAGTAGGATGTAAAAATAATACCTTATGTTATGCGGCGGCCGTGAAAAGCTTATGAAGCAATTAAAAATTGTTAAAAACTAGCATAAAAAGAAATATATATAAATAGAGAGAGAGAGAGACTAGCGTATTATGTAATACGCTGGGAATCAAACTTGCATAAAAGTTGAATCTAATATAATTTTACTTATAAGAGTACTTATATCTGTCTTTACAAATATTATTAATACAATTATAATACATTTTTAACACGTTAAATTTTATACCAGCCCGATGGATATAAATGTTGTAATATGAAACTGGCCAACAGTGAAAATATATAGTGACACAGTGGCCGCCCAGTCCACCCTTGGCAGTCCACAATACTTTGGCATAATCTTTGATAAGCGTCTCACTTGGAAATCTCACCTCTAATTTAAAAGAAATCTTGCTAACAGTCGACTCCATCTCTTCCGTCCCCGTCTTAAATCCTAATTAAATCTCAAAACCAAAATTCTTTTATATAAGTCAATAATTAGACCAATATGGTCATATGACATTCAGATTTTGGGGCCGGCCGAACCCTCTAATATACGTCCTATACAGTATTTCCAAAATATTGCTCTCCATACCTTAATTGGTGCTCCATGGTACATGACCAACATTTCACTCCATAAAGACTTACAAATCCAAACTGTCTCTGATTTCTCCAAACTGTATTACAATCAATTCTATTGTAAACTCAACTCAAGAACTAATGCCCTCATCAAAAATATAAACCTTCTCGCAGGCTAAAACGAAATTGAAATCGTGATCTTTTTTCTTAATTATCCAAAATCCAAGTGATAAATGTTAGGAGGTATCACCAATGGGTGACTTCTTCTAAAATTATTTTAAGTTTATTGTATGAATTATTTAATGTGCCAATTAATGTACATATTGTTCTTTTTATTCTAATAAAAAAAAAAAAAAAAAATTATCTTTAACCATGTTATAGATGTGCGATTAACATATAATAACGTATTACGTATACGTTATACTTGATATTATAAAACGTATTAAATACGAATTTTTCTTTTTTATTATTTACCTATCAATCATTCCACAAAGATGTCTTAAAAACCGATTGCATTGATCCGTTGTCGGATAAATAAAATTTTTCACGTTGATTGTTCCAAAATCGAGCTCATGGGTATCGACGAGCTTCATACTCTTCGCCACGTTATCGTCCGCGCACTGGATGCACAACGATACCACAAAGAGTCAATTGCGAGTGACCAGTATATGTCTTGGGTACGTGGTCTATACCATGTAGACATAACACTGTCCCGCCATCGGTGGCTTCGTGGATGGCTCTGGTAAAAGTTTTTTATTTTTTTATTTTATTTTTCTTTTCTTCTGGAAATTGTATTTCTTTTTTTTAACGCATATGTTTCCGTAGTAGTCGAGTTATACAGAAGAATTTTAATTTACGCGTCTTCTGTCTTTTATAAATTCGCTTAATCTAATTAAACATAATAATTGCTTTTATGCTAGTTAAGAGTATTGACTATTTTACAATTGTTTTCTTCTATTATAAAATGTTGTAGTAAACTATTTCTTAATGTGACATGAATAAAGGTACAGAGATCTAAATTTTATTGTTATTGGTATTGCTTAATACTACAAAATATATCTCTACAGTTGATAGATGTATTTAATTTATTAATATTAATTTGTAGTTTTACAAAGAAAATGGCATCGGAAAATGCATCGGCTATTGTAAAATTGGCTAATGGAGCCGGTGGTAGTCGTGGTCAAAAAAAGAGAAAACAAATAGAAACGATAAAAAATAGTTGGGTGAAAAAAATGATCACATTTTTTCAGGCAAAGTGAAAAGAGGAACACGTGATGATGGTATTATTTTTTTTCCGTCAATAATGTTTTTCGACCAAGACAATGTAGTTGCATTCGTTAGTTTTATTATTAGCTATATACGTGTATCCATCATTAATATTTATATATATTTTATATTTGTATATGTAGGTAAATCATCATTACTTGTATTCAGTGGCGCCTACAGGTTTTCCATGAATCAATGTAATTATAATTATAGGAATTATAGGATCCCTAAATGTATTTTGGTCTACATCCATACGATTATATTCGTTTAATTGAAATAATTTTTTTTCCAAATGCATGCTTACCTTAAATATATTTAAAAACATTGCAATTCCTTTACGACATTTTTTTTAAATATGGGTTTGAATTTAAAATTTTACAGAAAAAAATCTCCACCAGTTGGTATTGACCTGCTCAGAACAGTTTTTCAAATATAATAACTTAATTAATTATTAAAGATCTCAAAGTTAATACTACAACATACATAATAATTTTTATTATTGATTTAATTTAAGGCGTTGAATATCTATGTGTTGAATTGCTTTACAAAATATATCTATTATTTCATCATAATTTAATTCCATGTAGTAGTTATATAACATATTAACATAATAGCATATCAATCTTATGGTAGCTTCCTAAGCCCTGACACGAACTAACAACACACTTAACATTATTATAATTATCTATATTAATTTTTATATATTTATATTTATTTGCAAAAAAAAAAAAAAAAATTAACAAGTTTGTTAGAATTGAATTTGATTTTCGGAAATACTATTTTTTTGTTTAGAATGGATATGAATTAAAATTTGATGATTCTAAAGGATTATGTGTCTTAAATTGTCTTGAATTAAAACTTGTCTTAAATTGCATAGTCATTTGTGACAGTTGTGTAAAGAAAGTAGCAATACAACAACTAACTTCAATTTTCTCAGATTTATCTATAATTCTAAGTTTTGTAAGTATTTTAATAAAGCATTAAAAAAATGTGACTAATATCTGTTTTAACTATAAGTTTTAACTGTTTTAACCAAAGAATATAAAATTATCAAATTCTCATTTAAATCTTGTGCAATCAGTTATTCAATTAATGAATTTAATAGTTTCTAAAGAATATTAATATCATTGGAAATCTATTGGTGGTTCGTGTTTTATTGTTCTTGAAAAAAATATCGTGAGTTACTAATTATAAAGTTTATATTTTATGATTATTTAACTATTTTAAAATTAATTTTAATTTTTTAGAAAGTATATGGGATTGTGCTTATGATTCATATATAAAATTAAATGATCCAGATAGTTTAATCATAAGTATATTTGAAAATGAGAAAGTTCAATTAAATCTCCCTGGTTGAAAAACAAGAGAAGATATATTTCTAGAAAAAAATTTGATCATAATTAATAAAACAAGAAAAATGTAAAACAATTTTTTTGATATTTTTGTTTGTATAAACTTAATTTTATTGGTTTTTGGGTTTTTACTATTTTTGAAATGTTGTATTCTTGTAATTAAATTTTTGCAAAAATCATGATTCCTCACATGAAATTGTATCGCTGCTTTAATTGGGTTAACAGTAATGCTAATATATGTATTAAGGAACATTGTTAGAAATGAAGTAATTATTGATTCAAAATTCAGTACGTTTTTTATTGTTGATGGACTAATTTAAATTATTGTATTCCTTTCTGACAAAAAACAACTAGAGTGAGTAAAATGAATCTTCTTTTTTTCATATATATATATATATATATATGATATGATTAAGGGCAATAATTTAGTCCCCGTATATTAATTAAAAAAATTTAAATTAATATTAAAACAAATAAAAATTAATAATATTGTTTGATTATTGAATATTGTTTAATTGTCTAGCATGGAATGGTTTCTACATCATTGATGTCAACACTCAACTAAATATATGTATTAGATGTAGATTATGCAAGTTTGAACGATGCATTAGAACTCTGTGTGTATATATTTACCAGTCAACTTTTAATGAAAGTATCATAAAACAGTAATAATAATCAACAATTAACTAAGATTGCTGATGTTGCCAAAAACATCATTCGCACAAAAATATTTTCTTTTATTGTTTGTGTATCATGAGCATTTTTTTTTTTTTCATTACAAATTTGATTTATTTTGATTTCATAGTATAACCTGAATTTATAGATTTTTAATAGTGCTAATTTATAGTAATAATAACTTTAAAAATATTTAAAAAGAACTGAACAGACAAAAATGTACTTATCGCTATAGTATACAAACTGAATAATAAAATGTATTGAAAATAATATTATTCGATTACATGTATACTAATTTGATTTGCATTAAATCATTTAAGATGAAATACTATTTTAGTTGTATAAGGTCTGCTTTAGATATAAAAACTATAAATAATTAATTAGATTAAATGTAAAATTATGAATTTTAAATTAGCAAAATTAAATTTTAAACGAAGGCACCATGTGAATAAAATTAATAAACCTATAAATCAAATAGATACTAGTCATTTTTGTTTGAGTAGTCATCAACATCTTCATCAATTAATCTGATAGGAGATTCTTTAGTTCTCTGTATAGTATTGTAGCTCTATAAAATCATCAAAATAACGTGACTCAATTAATATTCATATTCTTAGTAGAAAAAAATTAAAAATACAATTCTAATTACCTCAGCAGCTATACTATGTAGGAAATTTGCTGTATCCCTACCGGTTTTTTCCACCATTTTATACAAAAATCCATCCTTGATTTTCAACAAAATATGAGGATGATCAAATTCAACCATTTTACCAGCATCCATTACAAGCACTTTGTCAGAATCCATAACGGTATTCAAACGATGGGCAATAGTTAAGACAGTATACTTTCGGAATTTACTTCTAATTGTATTCTGAATCAATGCTTCAGTCCTAGAAAAAAAACATTCATTATAATAATAATTATGATTAACATAATGTTTTAAGCATTTATTACTGTGGATCGACATTAGCAGTAGCTTCATCCATCACAAGAATCTTATTATTTCGCACTATAGCTCTAGCCAAACACACCAGTTGTCTTTGACCAACACTGAAGTTAGATCCACCCTCTGACATTTTTGAGTGCAATCCACCGGGTAAATCTTCAATAACATCTTTTAGTTCCACCTAATAAAACAATAATCATTGATTCCTCTGTTATAAAATTGTAAATAATTATGTATAGTTATATTAAGAAATCATAAGCATTTACCTCATCTAAAGCATTCCAAAGAGCAAGGTCTGGATATTCATCGAAAGGATCTAAATTCTTTCGCATCGTTCCAGTAAACAAAACTGGTTCCTGTGGTATAATGGAAATTTTGGAACGCAATTCGTGTAGTCCTAATTCATTGATATCCAGATCATCAACATAAATGGAACCTTCATTCAGAGCCAATCTAAATAATGCTCCAATTAAGGATGATTTTCCAGCACCAGTCCTACCAACGATTCCTACCTATAATATAATACATTTTTAATAAAACCAATATAAAAATTATAAAATTGGTTTTAAAATACTTTTTCCGTTGATTCAATTTTAATGTTGAGATTTTTTAATACATGTGGAGTGTCTGGGCTATAACGTAAATAAAAGTTTTTAAAAACAACCTGCCCTTTTTGAGGCCATTCTTTTGGTGGTTTTTTATCTAAAAAAAATGTTTAAATTTAAAAAATATTATATATAAAATAATTTATTAAATATTACCTAGAGGAGATTCAAGAGCAGATTCTTGAGGAACATTTGTATATTCTAGTACTCTTTCGACTGATGTCATCTGGTTTTCTAATTCTGCTGTTTGTTTCATTGCCCATTGGATCATACCAGTTAATCCCATTGTTTGAGTTATAACCAAACCAACATTTCCTCCATACATATCTAAAAAATGTATTTATAATTATAATTTACAGTGATTCGTATTATATGTTATGTTCGACAAATTTTTTAAACTTACTATTATTGATAGCTATAAAACTAAATATCAATATTCCTATATACATCAAACAGGTTATATCTAACAAAAAACCAAATGCTCTGCTTGATGTTATTAACAAATACCACGCAGAAGAATGTAAATCCTATTTTGGTACAACAAAAAATAAAACATCTTAAAAATGTATAAATTATTATTTAAACTTACTTGATGATTATCAAATTCTCTTGACAATAAGTTTTTCGCTTCAAATGCTCTAATTGTAATCAATCCGCGAAGAGATTCATTGAAATGTGCAAATACAGGACTTCGTGCTGTTTTAATTAAAATAAAATTATATTTATATAAATAGTTTTTTGAACTATAATAATTTTATAATTTTATTTATTTTTTATTTACTTATTTTCAAGTTATTTATCTAATTAAGTAACTAAGTGAGTTTTTTTTATCAAACTATAGATTTATTTTACTTACTAATTCCTTCTAATCGTTTTATACTGCGAGAAGTAGACATGTAAAATACTCGAAGTTTGTAAAAGATTAATCCAATCATAAATGTTGGTATTATGAGGTAAATGTTTACGATCCCAACAATTATAATCACTCCTAAGAGTATCAATCCATTCTAAATTAATCATTAAAGCATACATTCTTATGATATTATATATTCCTATTTTTAAGTTTTTAACGTTGTACATTACTTGTATGCAATCCATTAAAGTCATTGTTAACAACTCATCAATCGCACCCATATCTTTTGAAAATCGATTAAGAATTCGTCCTTAGAAATAAATAAATAAAATTTGTATACATTATTTTTATTTTATTCGAAATTATAGTTACCAGATGAATTTGTATTAAAAAAATACATTGTGGCTCTGACTATTGCGTTAAACATATTATTATGTAAATTTATTGACGATTTCATACAAACTGACACAAATATAGCTGTTCTAATAAGAATAGCTAATATCATTGAAAATGTAAAAACTACAAAAACTATGATACAGGTTTGTCTAGAAATTGTCCACCATAGTAAAGTATCAGATATTTTATAATTCGTTGCATTATTGTTATAAGGTGTTTCTCTTAACGTGTTATTTTTTAGACTATTGTTATCATGATAAAAAACATGTTCCTCTAGATTAACCCTATAAAAATATTTTAATTTGAATATAATATAATAAACCAAGAAAAGTATAATGCGCAATACCAATAAGTTATCCAATATTCTCCACCGGAAATAAATATTTGAGTGATCAAACATATGATAAACAAAAGAAAAACTTCATATATATTTCCACTAGCAGAAAAATAAGACATATATATACTCTTGGACATATTTCCCGATGATCGAATTTCAGGTTCTTCATTATAGTGTTTTTCGATGCACTTTACCGAATCGTTTATTTTACTTTCGTTGACGCACGATAATACACTTTCGTTTGAACCACGTGTAGATAAACATGCATTAAAACTTTTAGTATTTGTTATATTCGATTCAATATCAGACTCAACTGTGCTTTTTTGTTTGTCTTCCAACGATCCAATTTGTAATTTAGTGAAATCAATACCAGCCGCTTGTAGTTCTTGATAAGAACCTTTAGCTAATATAGTTGCCTTATAAGAAAAAATCCTAGATAATCTAATGGACAAACAAACGAAAATTTAACCATTAAAATACTTACATCTTTCATGAAAACAACTTGGTCTACATTAGTCAAGTACTGTATTTGGTGAGTTATCAGAATACACGTTTTATTCTTAAGATATTCTATTAAAATTAAAATTAAAATTAATTTTTATAGAACAATTATTCTTCGAAATATTACCTATGATACATTTTTCGAACAAATGTTTGCCGACTCTTGTATCAACAGCTGATAAAGGATCGTCTAATAAATAAATGTCTGCTTGCTTGTATACAGCTCTGAATTAAATCACATAGAAGCAATAATAAAATTAAAATATTTTTACAATTTATTTAATGATTTTTATTAATCACCTAGCTAAATTTATTCTAGCTCTTTGTCCACCACTTAGTGTAACTCCCCTTTCACCCACAAATGTTTTGTCGCCGTAAGGGAACTGTTCGAAATCATTTTTTAATGCACATACATTAATAACCTATTTTATGAACGGGTCATAAATGTGATTTTAAGTGTTATTAAATATCTTATGGAAATAAATAAAAATGCAAACGTTTACTTTTTTGTAACGAACTTCATCCATTGGTGAATTAAATAAAATATTTTGTTGAATAGAACCACCAAACAACCATGGTTCTTGCGATGCGTATGAAATCTTACCACGTATTGATAATTTTCCTTCTGAGAGTGGTAATTCTTTTAAAATTAATTGCAACAATGAACTCTGCAAACATTTTTTGGTATATAGGTATCATTTAGTTAACAATATTTTAATTTAGTATCACGTATATAGGAAGATAATAATTTATGCTACTTCTATAACTTCTACTATCTTCTCCTATAGTATAATTTACCATAGATTGATGTACGGTATATCAATTTTTACTCATTCAGATGATAATTTGTGCCATTTTCATCCATTGAAAAAATTTTAATGTGTAAAATCTTTAGTTAAACAGCTATTAGGGTTATTATATTATCATTGTATGATAATCGCAAAAAGAACGGTGAATCTGACCTGGTAATTAAATACAGAGATGGATTCTCTTATATTATACCGGCCCGCAGATCATCCCAGGACAGACGCCATCAAGCATCGAACTATGCCCTTACTCAATCAAAAAACTAGCAGTACTCAATCTGTCGCTGCCTAGGCAAGCACTCCCTGGCCTGAACAAAACTGGGAAAAATGACTCATGCTACTACTCCTACTTAACTGATCCACTTTGCAATTGTATGTATAACATTAAACTTCGTTCTTCAAACTGTTTACGCTGCTACATTGCTGAACTATCTTTAGATTCTTTCTTGCAAGTCTTCACTAGCTTTAAAACCTCATTTTATAAACCTATTTATTTTTCTAATATTTGTAATAATAACTTTTGTGATAATACCCTAAATTGCAATTATTAATTGCAAATATTTTATCAAAATGTTCGTGGTCTTAAAATAAAATTAGTTAGCCTCAGATGTTCTTTCCTTATGCTTCACTTTTATGATATTATTATCCTCACAGAAATCTGGCTGACTCCTGACATAAGTGACAGTGAACTTGGTTTCACTGGCTTTTAAGTAATAAGACTTGATAGAAACCATAATAACAGTACTTCTATCCGATGTGGCGGAGTTCTAATTGCTATCAAGAATACCCGTTCCTTTCAACCTATTCCACTAACCGTATCTAATGTTGAACAAGTATTTGTATTATTGTCCCTAAATTCTTACCACTTATTGGTAGGAGGTGTATACTTACCCCCCTCCCCCTTTCTGTAGTTGAATCCCATACTACTTCTGTTGAACACATGATATCCTCTTATAAACCAAACTCCCTAGTCATATGTGGTGACTACAATCTCCCAAATATCAACTGGTCTTCTGATGAATTAAAATTAATTGGGACTAATGATCCCAGTATAATTTCCACAACTATTATTGATTCCTTTTCTTACTTCAATTTTTTCCAGCATAATTTCTTTCGCAATAATCATGGCAGTATATTAGATCTTGTCTTTTCCAACTGCAATAGAGTTACAGTCAATTTAGCAACGGAATATTTGGTTATTCCTGATCCTTACCACCCACCTCTTCACGTGGTCTTACCTTCACAATCTGACAAATTAGTAGTTAATACCCATACATATAAAGATTTTAAGGCTGCAAACTACACTTCCATAATGTAATTTATTAACTCCTTTAATTAGGAGTTTACATTCTCACAGTACACAATCGGAGATGCAGCCTCTGTTTTTAATGAAGCTCTGCTTCATGCTGTCGATTTGTTTGTTCCTACTAAAACATTTAAATTGCCAAAATTCCCTGCTTGGACATCTCCCTCTCTTAAAAATCTTATTATGAAGAAAAAGCTAGCTCACAAACTTTATAAGTGTTCGAGGTCCCCCTATGACTACTCAGCATTTTCCGAACTTCGTGATAAATGCAAGCGCCAATCTAAAATATACTACCAGTCTTATATAAGATTATTATATAAGTTTATCCTTTATTCCTACTGTTTAGACTATTTCTTGATGAGGGTATCTTTCCAGCTGTTTGGAAAACATGTTCTATCACCTCTGTTTTTAAATCTGGAGATCCCTCGCTCGTTTCTAATTATAGGCCTATTTCCATCCTACCTCACATTTTTAAACTGTTTGAGTCCATCGTCTACTCCTCTATCAAAAGAAGTCTTAACCATATTCTAATGGATGAGCAGCATGGTTTCCGTAGTGGGAAATTTACTGTCACTTGCAGCCTGTCTTTCACATCATATATATAAAAAAGCTTTGAATCTGATTGTCAAGTTGATACTGTGTTCACAAACTTTAATAAAGCTATCGACACCGTCATTCATAGGCGCCTTATCTCTGAATTGGATTCACTTGATATCGGTAATCCTTTACTCTCATGGCTCCAATCTTATTTAAGTTAAAGAATATATGAAAATATCTGAAAATCCCCATTGGTATCGTTAGTGTGAAACGACCTTAATCATAAATAACCTCGTTACGATACGTGATAACGGCAAATAACTAATACAAAACTAAATAATAATTAATATTACATTTTTAATAACTATGTGATTTTTATAAGTTTTAAGTTATAATAACAATATTAATGTATTATACATACACAAATCTGTTTTAAATGATGTTTTAATTTTTTTTTTTTAAATTTTTTAGTGAATTTTTTTAATTTTAAAGCATTTTTTAAGGCATTAAGTCGTATTTTTTAGGAAATTTTTCTTAATTTTTATGGCATTAAAGTCCGTTCCCTTATAATAACTATTAAAATAAATTCATTGTTGTATTAAATTCTTATTATTAGATTTTAACCGTGGCAGAAATATTCTGATCTGTAGATAATACACTCGTATGCTTTTTTTATTTTGGGTCATTATAGGGCAGTTTACATACACCCTAATGCCCTTTTGATTTATACATACTTTTCCTGCACCCACAGGACCAATGACTGCAACTAATTCACCTGGTTTTGCATTGAAATTTATACTTTCTAAAGAGTTACTGCTTTGTTCGTCTGTCCACTTAGCTGTCGCGTTCATAATATTTATCTCAAAATATAGAATATTATCTTTAATTTTCATATTTTTTGTTGTAGTATTGTCGTTAGTGTGGACTGATTCATTATTAACACAATTTTTTACCGAATCTGTCGATTTAGAAATATTTATTTTTAATCCATCTTTTTCTTCAAGCAGTAAAAAATTCTGAATAAAAAAACAGTGTATTTTTGAATATATAAATATTTCGAAACAAATAATTTTATATAAAATAAAATACTGTCATTAATATACTTGTATGCGTTTAATAGATACTAGCATTTCAGGTATTGCTGACAATCCTTGATTGAAGAATACCGCCATAGTTGGAGCCAATATATTGTAATAAGCAGTTATGACAAAAACCTACAATTACATAGTCTAGTTAAAGTATTAGCAATAAAAACATTAATATTGTGGCTTACTTTTCGACTCGAGATAGTATATCCTAGTAATATGTACGATAAAAAACTGACAAATAGTTGAAGTCTGGTCATAGTAATTATAAATGATAATGAAATAGCTCTGATGTATGACGATCTTCTAACTTGTTGAATTTCATTCCTTTATAGTTAATGTTGACTTTTATATTATGTATATAATACAATACTTTAATATGATCATAGAACTTACATCCTTGCGTATTCTATTAGCTTTTCAAAGGGTTTTTCCCAGGAATACATTTTGATCAATTGTATAGCAGAAATTATTTCATTCATTAAGCGTAGTCTTTCATCCGTCTTGATAGCTGTTTTTAGTCGAAGTTCAAACATTTTTTTCCCTAACCAACCTAAGACAAAACAATTGTTTTACACATGAATATAAACTATTTATTTTTTATTGTTTTTAATTTTTGTGTGGTTTTTACACAAACCTTGAAATGGAATGAAGAAAAGAAATGTAGATACTCCGATTAATGAAGTTATGCCTATTTCTCGCCACATTAAATATGTTACCACAATAGTTTGTAGAGGACCGATCCATAAATATTGAAGAAATATAATTTTCGAATCAAATCGATTCACGTCATTCGATAACAAATTTATCACATGACCTATTGTCGTTTTACCTAGAGCTGTATGATTGATACATAAGGCCTGTGTATAACGAAACATGATAAAAATAAATAATTTCTCATTTATTTAAATATAATATTTACTACATATTATCATGTAATATTAACTTTTTTATTGATCAATATTAAGTAACAATTATAATTATTTATTTTATTGAAATATTACTCCCAATGGCGTAAATTGGATCCAATTTCTGGTGGTGCAGAGGCATATTTTCAACCAATAATTTTCAACTCACCAATTGTTCAATTTTTTAAGTACAATTATTCCCAATAAACTATATATTTTCCCATATATTTTTATAAATAACAAATAAATTTTGAACTATTTTAACATTAAAACCTTTATTATTATAATATTAATAAAAAAAATTTTGTTGTTAGTATGATGATTTCCTTGGCTCTTGAAAATAATATTATAGGTATACAAATTTCAATGATTTTCTGGTGGTGCAAAAACATATCTTTGCACCACCACATTTTAGATGTGGTATTGCAAGTGCCACATTTGCACTACCCAGTTTACGCCACTGGTTACTCCATGACTACAATGTCATATTTTCTTGAATTCTGAAAATGCTAATAACTTATGAGAAATAACATATTAAAAAAAATAACCCGATAGTAAATAGGTGCTTATGTATTATAATACATAATATATTAAATAGCAAGAATTATTTTTGAAGTATTTTATTATAAACTGTTCAAGTTAAAGTTTGAGTGAATTCGAAGAATAAGGTATTTAGCACAAATAGTAACACGACTTTATGGTTATAATAATAGTATATTATTAATAACACACACACACACACACACATGTCAATTAAAACATTTCATACGGCATAAATTGGATTTAATAGATCCATGAAAAGATAAAAATTTAATTAATTTTTTTGTAAAATATTAGGTGTACCTTCCTGTATATTATCGAACAACATGCAACTCTTATTTTCATCCCAAAGTGTACAGTTTCAATTTGATTTGAATGATAAATAACCATTGACAATAACATGATAATCAATAGACCAGATGCGCAGAAATATGCATATCCGACGTCAACTTTGTTAGGACCATCGTTGGAAAAATAAACTAACAATCCTCCGATAAATAAAGGTTGAGGCGTTCTAAAATCAAAATAATTAAAACATTTTTGATCGTAATGTGATAAGCAACCATGATGAAAACGTAATGTTACTTATTTTTATTCATGTTTATCAGCAATAATATACTTATGATTTTCAAAATTATTTTTAATCGAATTAATTAATAACTGTCCTTTACTATACAGTGTGTTTACGGTTTCGAGTACCAATAAATATCTTCGATGGGTAACATAGTATTTAAATGAATACTTTGAAGGTTTTAGGGGATACTGAAATACATATTTCTTGATAGTTTTTGAGCTTTATCCTTTAGGGTTCACGCATGCGCAATATAACTTACTTTTTTTTTAACGATAATCCTAATTTTTTCTACATTTTCGATTACACTATTTTTCAAACAATTTTTGTATAAAAGGTGTTTTCTATTTTAAAAATTGAATAAATCAAAATTTGAAGTTGTGCATAATTTGTTTTTTTTTTTTTTTACAAATATTTTATTTAAAACAGTAAATTATTAAAAATAGTTGAACATTATTTTTAGTACATGATATTTTTATAATTAAAATAATAACAAACTAATTATTTGAATAAAATTAATTAGACCTATTGCTCGCAGAATTAGGCTTTTATATAGTTCTGTTCAAAAAAGTATAAAAAAAAAAAAATTCACCATATAAAGTGGATTCTGTACAAAATTTGCAGGTAGGAGATTCTATTAGTGGGTTGGAATATATGGTGTAGTTAAATCAAAATTACATTTTAATTGTTAATTATATTCTTTGGAATAATTAATCAAAAGTTAACAATAACAGCACAATTAGCAAACAAAATCATCGATATTGAAGGAAACGAATCTACATTAGTCACGTAAAAATAATTTTCAAATTGTTTTGGGAGTAAATGCATGGTGTGGACTGATCCGCAACCTTTTTGTAGGACCATGCTTTTATAATGGAATGCTCAATGGTAAACGATATTTAAATTTTATAACCAACGAACTACCAATACTATTACATAATGTTCAATAAGACACGTGAAAATATGTCCACAATATAGCAACATTTTCTTACAAAAATATAACTTACCAGTTCATAATACAATAGTTATTAGACAATATTTAGAACAAATGTTTTCAAAACGTTGGATTGGTATTTATGGTGTTGTTCCTTGGTACGGCCTCTAGATTTAAAAACAATTAAAAACTATGGTATACACAGATTCATCAGGATTAAAAAATACAAAATACAGGCATCATGAGACGTTCTTAGAGAAAACCAATACAAAGCGGCAACGTCAATTGAATTTTTGAAGAGGCTCGAATCATGTTTAGAATATAACGAGGAAAATATTGAACAATTAATTAGATAAATTGATTGAATACATTGTTTTTTGTATTATAAACTACTACTGTTACTGTTATTATTATTATTATTATGACTATAATTAGTTTATTTTTATTTTAATCACAAAAATATTACTAAAAATAAAGTACAATTATTTAACACTATTTTTAATAATTTAGTGATTTAGATAAAAATTTCGTAAAAACCAATAATGCGTTATTTCAAATATTGACTAACTCCTATTTGGTCAATTTTGAAAACAGAAAAAGTCAATTTTTCAAAAAGGTGTAGAAAAAAAGTCTATCTAAATATGTAAAAAAAAATTAGGATTGCCGTTAGAAAAAGTAAGTTGGTTTGGGCATGCATGTACCGTTTAGGATTAAATGTTCAAAAGTTTTCAAAAAAAATGTACTCGTATATCCTACTAAATATTTATTTCAATAAAATGTCACCCAGTTAAGATATTTAGTGGTACCTGAAATATATATAATTTATATTTAATGATATATATATATTCAAGTATATGTCACGTCTACTTAGTGTAATCGTAGTTTCAAGAAATATATATCCATTTCATGAACTTAGAGCATATCGCGTGTATTGTTTTTAGGTTCTTATAATGGGCATTTATTCTGTCCATTTCGTGAAATGGAAATCCGTATTTAACATTTTAAGTATTTTTTTTTCATTTTTACATTGAATGGATACATTTTTGTGAAATTGAAATATAATCAAAATATAATATTATTTAATTGCATTTCTATATCATAAAAATAAATTATGTTGCAAAAACTCCGAGAAACTTTCAATTATAATGATAAGATATTGTTTACATTATTTATCATAACAATTTGAAGTATTATGACAACGTCTATAGTACTTAATATAAGCTTTATTGCAAGTACATCTATTATTTACACATTGTCCTTTACATATACAACTAGAAAATTCTTGTCCTCCCGAAATGTAAGCAATTGTTTCACGTTAAGTTAAGACACTATCATAATTAACCTCAATAGTTTTTAAAAAAATTAGATGCTGCAAGCTTTATGTTTGTAAAACTGCACCATAATTTTTTTAATCCATAAATAGTGCCAAGATGGTAAAACTTATGTTCATTTTGATTGACAATTATAGAAATTAAATGAATAGAATTTGACGATCGTTAGTCTACTTTAGGTATAGCTACAAAACATAATTCCTGATTTTATAATCAAGAATCAAGAACATTTGCTTTGTAGATCTATAAATAAAAATAATTAAATAATTTATAATTTTTAAAAAAAAGTAAAAACAAAATTTAAGGCAATAACTTTTTTCCTGTTCTCGATCTAAGCTCACATTGTTTTTTAATTTTTTCACCGCTTTTGTATAGATCACAAATAATAGCTCCTGTTAAATCTACTTAAATTTGCATTTCTAAATTACAAATACTGTAATATGAAGTAATTGATTCGTTTTCATTTTGAAGTTCAATTTTGTTTAAAATTTATGAATATGCTTTTCAGTGTTCAATTTTTTTATTATATCAAATGGAAAATTTAATGAGAATAAGCCGATTTTCGGTTCACATCTAAATACGAAGAGCGTCCAATAAATCGGTGAAAAGAGAAATTTGAAATTGCGCAAACTGTAATCCAATAAATAATTTTTTTGATTGGTTGTCTTTCGTTCATGCACGAATCATATTTTCAATGTCTTAAATACTTCTTTTAACACTCCTTTGATTTTGGGTATGACACATAACCATGGACTAACACATTGTTGCCACACATCCATTAATTCATGAACAACAGAATTTATAAATTCACGACCATTATCACTTAGAAGTAATTTTGGACTTCAAATATATGAAATATATCAAGTAATTTACTTACTACTTCAATAGAATTTTTGCTTTCAAATGTACCTAACAGTCATTACAGTTATTTTTCATTATAGCAGACAAATGGTACGGCTATACCTGTATACAGTAATAAATTGGTACAAAATACGTAATTTCATTAACATTGTAGTAAAATTTAAATACGAGCTTCCGTTTTATAAAATGGACAAAATAAATAGAATTTTCAATTACGTGAACCTAAAAATTACACACACGATATGATCTAACTCCATGAAATGGATATCAATTTCGTGAAAGCTACGATTACACTAAGAGTGTATATATATATATACACACCAACCAACTAATTATCTTACTAATAATTGATGACTTTTATAATTATTATTTGTCGATGGAGTTTTTTACCGATTTTTTTCTCTAGAAACGAGTATAAAAAAAAAAATAGGATCAAATACGAAAATGAATTAAACATATTAAAATGTAAACTACCTCACACAAAAGTATAAACAAATAAATAAGTAAACCTTTTGAAGTTAAAGATATTGAAAATTTTAATCCTCACTTGAGAAGTATTTCATTCAAAAACTGTACAAGTCCATGAACTATGTATTTAGCTCCAAATAACTGAAACAATGCTCTTAACAAACTGGGAATACGATTCTCTTTGTATGCATTGTAGACTTCTGATTTCCATACCCTTAAATTAAAATTAAAATTGTACAATTTTGTTTGTTTATCCTGATTAAACATAATAATTATTAAACTGATTTTAAAATGTATTAACTTTTCTAATTCATCTCCCAATAATGAAGACTTGTGATCATCTAGTGTTTCATATAAATCATTCTCTTCTAAGTCCCGACTTTGTCCTTTTTTAAATAGATTAAATATCCAACTAAAAAAATATAAATCAAAACAAAAAGTAAATATAATTTTATTAATATATACAGTATAATATACTTGTACTCGCATAGATGTAATGATATACAAATTGTAAGTAAAAAATGTCAATTACAAACATTTTCTTATAGTTTTGAAATGAAATTTATTAAGTTAAGTGAATTTCTATCGTTTAAAAAAAATAAAATAAGTTTGTGATATATAGTTTGAAAATTATATACAAAACTTACCTTATACCATTTGAATTTAACTAGTGCTTGAAAAATGATATGATCTAGTTAAATTTATTATATATATATATACTACGTAGGTAAATCAAAACGTTTGTTGCATTGGGTTATATAATTTTCCCTAAATGAACATTTGTGGCAATACTATTAAAATAGCTTTTTAAAAGTATAGATAGTGAAATTGAACTAAGCTAAAAATCTCATCAGTTAGTAGTTAATTATCATAATTACCACTGCAGTTAAGGTATCCAAAATGTAAATTTGCTTAGTGATCAAATTTTTGTTAAAAATTGTTAACCGGTACAATTTACAGGGAGATGTGTGAAGTGTATGGAAAACAATTAATTTCAGATAAGCAGTCAAGATATAGTGTGCTATGTTTAAGAATAGCCATACTGATGAGTATCAACAGGGACGTATTTAGGGAGGGGTTGAGAGGGTAGAAAATTGTTTTGGAATCAGAGGGTGGCAGCATTTTTTTGTAACCTTAATCTATCATCCATTTTCATTTGTCAGCTAAAAAGTTTTAATATTTTAAGATTTCGCCAACCAACACTGCGATTTTTATTTTTCATTCGAGTGAGAGAAATCATAACACCTTCTCTTCAGTTAATCTTAAAATTCAGTTCTCTTCAAATTAACAAACGAAGAAACGATACCATTCAGACGAAGAAGTAAAAAATTTCACAAGCGATTTGTAGTCACAAACTGACGGACATTTTTCAAACAAGACATAGAAATGTTCAGAAAGAACTCGTTCAGAGATATGACAAATTTAGGAAATTTTTAGGTACTTATGTTGAAAAAAAGTTGTAAAAAAATATTTTCGCATTAAATAATTTGTTTAAAAAAAAATATATATGTATTTACTAAATTTGGCATACAACTTAGTATTAAAGTTAAAACACTTTTGATAAATAATTGCATATGAATTTACCTAAATGTGAGAATTTCAAAAATATTTGCATTGAACCTTGGATTTTGAGGTCGTTTAACTTTATAATTAACATCCGTTATTAATCTAAAACACAAGAAAATTATAAAAAAAAATATTAAAAACTCAACATTTTTGACAACTAACCTGTACATAATGAACAGCTTATTATAATCAGTTATCATAAACTATTAGTCACATCGAATGATATCAATCTAACAAACAATTGTAAAAAAAAACGCATATGTAAATTTAAGTGTTGAATAATTAAACAGGTATTTATTCATTATTGATAGATATTACAATGGTGATAAATAGTTGAAAGTATTTTACATGCAATGTGTAAACAACTAAATTGTGATACATTTATAATTTTATTAATATAAAGAAAGGGGAGTGCTCTATAGAATATATTAGAGTATTATACAGACCTTGTGTTTACTTCAATAAATTTTTAATAAATTTACTTTATTTTGTCCATTATTCGTGTATGTTTAAGAAACAAATGAATAATTATATTTAATATATTACTCTTGGTCTTAAATTAATTAACTATATTTTAAACTAATCATTAATTAATTAAACATACTAAAAAATAATTCAAACACAATTATTTTTAACTAACACCAAATGACTCAATAGATTTATAGTATGTTATTATTATTTTTTGAAAATGATTGACATACGATATAGAACTCAACACTCCTATACATAAATCAAATCTATACATGGAAAATGATCACCAACTTTATTATTAATACGCATTGATGTGTGTTTTGTGTTTACTAATGAAAATGCATAAATAAAGGTAATTTAATCATTAAGATAAACAAAAGACCTGATTATATGAGGTTAAATATTCGTGTCCAATGTACACTGTATATCGTACTTTATTACGTGACTGCATGATATTATAGATATTTGTCAATTAGGTAGGTAGTTCAGAAAAATTAATTATTATAGTTCTATAACGATATTGTTTACACTTGATAGAAAATAAAAACTGCTGCAACACGATTGCGCAATTTTTCTTTTTTTGACCCGACTAATTACATCATGATTGTGCAAAATATTTACAACACGATTGTGCCCCGATCCCTTTTTACCTGATAAAATCACAACACCATTGCGCACCAAATAATAATATGTGTATATACTATGTATAATAATTTATGTACTACATAAAATAATGTATACAATACATACTTTCTACATATAATTTTCATATACATGCACTCAAACTTATTACCTATTAATTCACAATTACAGGCTTAGGACTGTCAACAAATTATCATCGTTGGCTTAGTTAAAAATTGTTTTTTTTTCTAAATTACATGTATGCTAAATGTATATACTGATATGGTCAAAAGTCCACATTTTTTTTATTAAAAATTTTTTTTTTTTTCTTAACTGTTAGTCATTAGTCAATATTATTATTATATCTATCATTAGCTCAATCAACTTTTCATTTCGATTTTGAAAAAATGCATTTTGTGAATTAATAGTTCGATTGCATGTATGTGCAAATTATAGTAAGTATGTATTGTATACATTAGTATGTTGTACATAAATTATTATACATAGTATATACACATAATTTGGTGCGCATTTGTATTGTGATTTTATCAGGTAAAAAGGGATCGGGGCGCAATCATGTTACAAATTTTTTGCGCAATCATGTTATTATTAGTCAGGTCAACAAAAAGGAAAAATTGGGCAATCGTGTTTCACCGAATAAAAATAGTGTTGGTAAATTGAAGTATAACAATGTAACATTAACATGATGAAACTAACATTTATTAATACAACGGTATTAAATAATAATAATTGAATACTTAATACATTGCTACTACATTATTGTTCGAGCATTGGAGCCTACCATGAACCTATCATTATCGTAGAAAATCAGAAAAATCAGTATTTACGGCCTTGTTCACTTTTCATAATATTAGGTACTTTTGATAACCACAGAATCACTGATATGATGTCTAGACAAATTATAAAAGCACTGAGTTAGTGGAATTTTGAATTAAAATTTAATTATGCTGACGCATATGTTTATGTAAACATTTTTAATGCAAATAAAATAATAATAAATATAATAACAACAATAATAATAATAATAATAATAATAATAATAATAATAATAATAATAATAATAATAAT